GTCAATTGCCTATATATATATATATATATATATATATATATATATATATATATATATATATATATATATCTTTTAGACCCACCATTACCTCTGTCTTAAATCGCATCTGATGGCCTGCATCGCTCCCTGCACAGATATACTTCTTTTTCGATTTTCGGCTTTTCTTTATATATTTTTTTCAGCCCCAAATGACGTTGTGTTTGAAAAACCATTAGCATTTTAGTTAAGATTCTGCCGCCCGGTTCTTGCCCAATCCCCCTTTGTGGGTGTGCGCCAGAGTATCAAGGATCATCATCATCATCAACACCTCTCTATTATTATGAGGGACTCCATGTGGTAGTGATCTGTAGAAATTTCTCTATGTGACATTTAAAGAGATAATGAATAAAATTATGAAAAATTGACGAGAACACGGAAATTCTGTTAAGGCGCGAATGCTACGCTAAATAAAGTTCACATAGTTTTGATTGATTTGGTTGTATTTTTGGTAGAGTGTCATCGCATGGCGGCAGAACGTGACCCTTGCTGTCACATTCCCGAAGCACTCGCAAAGTGCAGGTGTTCAAACGCTTCTTTCCCTTTTTCCACCTCTCCTTCATCCTACTCTTTCATTACACAAAAGCACTGATGCTTTAGCTCCGGGCTAGGAGCATTACTCGCTCCCAGTGCCGTTCGCAGTGCGGTCATTTCATGCCGAATATACCAGCTATTTCGGTGACCACCTCAAATCCTCAAATCAATTAGAAGAAATATTCTGCTGATTTACTACTGCACTGAAAGCAGTAAATCACATTGAATATTTCAGGAAAAAAAAATTGTGGTCACGTGAGAGCCTTTCCGAATTTATTCGAATGTTGTATGGCTATTGTTCATAAAATATTATTTTAAAGTGTCACAACCTCTTTCAATACCAAATTCAGTTTATGTAATAAGTAATGGTGACTGTGTAAGGTGTTTTAAGCTAATCAATCAGTGCAATATTTTGGCCACATACACCTACAAGAATTGAGCTGAAAGGGGTTATGTTTGCAGTTTTTCTACCATTACTGCTCTTTTAATGAATATCTGAGAAATAATAATTACTCCAAAGAAGCTATATTTTGCAAAAAATTACCTTTGCACCCCTCAAGTCACAAATCTTTACGAGAAAAATCACAAATTTCCCAAAATCATCAACTTTGTCCACGTTGAGGCCAATTTGCACCACGTGGTGGTCTAAATAAAGATAACATTTTTGTCCAACTGGAAAACATGTAAGCAGTTCTTTTGATATCCCAAGTTTTATAATTACAATTTTCGTTTCATGAAAGAAAATAATTTTTGAAGTTTCCGATTGGCGGCTATCTTCCCATTTTGTTATATGACAACTTCCTTCTTGTTCCCCGTGGCCCCGGCATTCCTTAAAACAGACGGGGCGTTTCCTCTCTGCTTGAGTATAAATAGACGACTTGCCTTGCACTCAGGTAATGTTATCGCATGCGCCCTTCGTGCGACTGAGATGGGTCGGCTTGCTTCCTTTTTGCTTCAGCCGCATTCGTTGTGCTTGCTTGCGTTCATTTACCCGCGGTTAGAGCACACGATTTCCGGGGGGCTGTTATCGATCTGGACTTCCTATGGTGCGTGATGGCGATGCCGATATTATAGGCACGTCAAGAGTATTCATATCTTAGTAAAAATATAAACAGGAACTATGAAAAAAACGAATGTTAGTTACACGCACCCAAGCTCTCTGTCAACATATCGCCCCCCCCCCCCCAATTTCGGCTAGAAAACAACTAATCAGGGCAGCCAACTTCTAGACTTTTTCATAAGGTTTACTGAAGAAGGACATCGTCTGCGTACCTACAATAACAGCACTACGTCGGTTGGCATCCACGGTCATTTTCTTTTTCCCATAAACTGAGACGCACCCGTGAGCTTTATGTCGATCTTTGCCGTGCCTCTGACGAACAGTTTTTACAGTGTGGTCAAACTTTATAAGCCAAAGCGCCAAAATACAAAACAAGGCCGAATTCTTGTATCAGCCTAATGTGCATGCAGTACATCATGACAAGCACGTCTCTACGCAAACCGGCACGATAATTACGAAGCCTATGCAGCGTCCCTATGGCACGTGCTCCTTTTGTAGCTATGTTTACATGTGGGGACTCCAGTTACATGTTTCGGTATAGGTTGCGCCTAAATACCTAACAGACTCGATCTGAGGTATGGCATCTTGTCAGTACATTAGTAAAATTTGCACAGGGCATTTTGTGCGAAATTTATGATGGTGATTTTGGTAACTTTGAGTGATAATTTGTTATCATCTAGCCACGTTTCCAGACTATTCGTGTATGTCTGCAGAATTAGGTAGAGTGTGTGAAGGTCTGCCAACGCAGAAAAAATGCGATATCATCGGCGTACACAAAGACTTGTAAATCTTGCCGCGACCTGTACAAGGGTGCAAGCGATGATGAGAATGACCTCAGATGGATGGCGCTCACCCACAAAGGGGGACGGGTCAAGAAACAGGTGGCAGAATACTTAAATGAAACTAATTTGTACTTGATGAAAACTTAGTTTAGAGATCAAACTGCGAATAACAAAAATGATTGCTGAGCAAGCGGTCAAACCATCTCTTGTTCCTGACAGACGTAGCTACGAATTATAAACCGAAGATATGAAAACGTTAGGCTTCACAAGCACGGTAATCTTTTTGTGTATTTGATATAGTCAAACATTGAGTAGCATAGATCTCTGTGACAATAACCAAATGAAGCGCCGCCAAGTGATAAAGGTACAGGTACATTTACCTGTATTCCGAACTTCTGTGGTGGGGCTTTTGAAAATCTTTTTCTCTAATAAAAATACTGACGATAGAATAAAAGCAAACATTCAATTGTTTCAACTTCGTTGCAAAAAAAAAACCACCCAAGGGTGACAGCTTGAGTATAGCTTTGTTTAGGTAATAATTTAGTTGTGGAACTCTACAGCGCAATCTACTATAAGTTACTTCTAGCTGTCAAGATACACAGCACTGTTAACTCTAGCAATACATTAAATGCTCCAAATCTTTGAATTCATCTAATTTATCTATTCCCACAGCAAACAAGCACACCGAAACCTTAGCGCTGCCACGTACGCCGTATCTGGCAAAACTGGGATATTGGGCCTCCTCAGGGATACTGCTGCTAAGGATGATGATGATGATCCCTATAATACTGGCACACACCCAGAAAGGGGGATCGGCCAAGGACCGGGCCATAGAATCATCATAAAGGTAAAGGCTTATGTTTCGCAAAAAAAAAGTAACTTTGGAATGAAGAAAAAAACAACTGCTATGCAAGGAACACTTCGCCATTGTCTCAAAATTAGGAAAGAAAGGCAAAGTGATGCCTGACAAGTTGTCGTCACCCGTCCCGGTCAATAAGCACACAAGGAGCAGTACTCTACGAATGTTAAAACAATATTAAAAGAAAGTAGGGACAGTTTCACACCTTTTATAACAGCTCACAATAATACGTTAGAAAAAAATCACAGCATGTCCACGGAGCGAACGGTGATGCGTGGGGCGAAGCGCTGGAGTGTTTTATCGCTTAGCTGTGAACCATCCACAAATATCACCCATTACATCATCAAGGACGAGACAAACACTGTATATACTTATACAAGAAATTTATTATTGCTAGCTGGTAGCTATACGCCACTTCTGTTTCCTCTTCATTACGATGACTTTGTGGTCAGTGGTGAATCGGTGATGGGGCGTATTGGGGTTTTTGCGAGAATAAAGTAGTGGGCTGTTCGCAAAGGCGGAACTCTAGGCGGTCACGTATAAACAAGGAATGGACACAGTGAGACAGTCAATGACTCTTTACCGCAGACCTGAATATAAGCACGCGGCCAACTCGCATTTCAAATTGGCTACTTCTCAACAATACTTACTTCATGGTAGGTGAAGTGGTGGATCGGTGATCGGGCACAGTGGGATGTTTGCAAGGGCAAAGTAGTGGGCAGTTTGCAAAGGTGAAACTATAGGTGGTCACGTACATGCGAGGGATGGAGAAACCCCTCTTTTAGGAGCTTCGCCCTTAAAACACTTATACTTCGAGACCTGTCTGTAAGACCTAATTTAGGGTAATAATGTAGCGTAATATCCCCTATTTAAGTACGCAAAAACAAAGATGATGTAGAGATACCCAGCTTTTTTAATAAGAAGCATGCCATCAAAGCTAACTAAAATAAATGGCAATATATATATATATATATATATATATATATATATATATATATATATATATATATATATATATATAATATATATATATATATATATATATATAATATATATATATATATATATATATATATATATATATATATATATATAGATATATATATATATATATATAGAGCAACGAACGCGTAATTCGAAGGTCGTAGGTTCGATTCCTGCTTACAGTTGGTAATTTTTTCATCCACTTTTCTTTCTTCTTATTTACATTCCATTAATGTTAATAACTTCCCCTGTACATTCCTTGGCATTACTGTCTGTTATATCTCATTATTATTGTGTTAAAAACACGGAAAACGAGCCCTTAGGTATACACTTCTTTCCCTTATACATATATATATATATATATATATATATATATATATATATATCTATATAAATATATATATATATATATATATATATATGATTCAAAAAAGAAATTCTGTGGGTCCGGTGAAATATAATTAAGAATAAAGGAGCACACTTACGAAAATTTGATAATTGTTTACTCTACGTTTCGGCCGTGGCACGGCCTTCGTCAAGAATCCTGACGAAGGCCGTGCCACGGCCGAAACTGAGAGTAAACAATTATCAAATTTTCATAAGTGTGCTCCTTTATTCCTTATATATATATATATATATATATATATATATATATATATATATATATATATATATATATATATATATGCAAGCACAGTGGACACAATGAAATGCACGTGCCCACACTAAAGAGACGTTTGAGTACCTTCACTTCCACAAGCGGAGCGGGAAAGCCTAGGTCAGTTCCACACCGCATGGCAGGTGCGAACGTTATGCGGCCACTCTCAGTCATGCCGTAGATATTGCTGATACTCTCGAGGTTACCAAATGCATCGAAGGCGGCGTTGTAAGCGGAGTGGGTGAGCGGACCACCGCCCACGGCTATACACCGAATGGATTCCATTCGCTCACCCATGAGCCTCATTCCTTCGCATATGCGGAGCAGCTGGGAAGAGATCACGAACGCCCACGTAACCTGCGTAGACACCGGTGCATTGAAACCATTGCAAAAGAATGTTATCGAATGATAACAGTGGTAAAAAATTGCTTTACGGGAGCGCTGCTCTTTTTAAATTGTTAAATTTATTTGCTTATTTAGTCGTAGCTTACGGCCTTCAGTGGTGTGGCTTCTGAAAAAAAAAAGATAAGTAAGGAGGAAAACCTTTTGTGCCTGATCAAACGGGGAAATAAGCGCTTGTGTTGTGTGTTCCTTGTAATAGCTGTGGCGCTTCCTACCAAATTGAATTTATAATAACTGGGCCGATACAATTGATTATCGAGGAAATTTAGCTTCGTAGGTGTGGGCCGATACAATTGATTATCGGGGATATTTAGCTTCGTAGGTGTTTCTCGGCGTTGCGAAAAAGGAATAAAATCAGATGACGTCATGCAGCACTCTTATACCAGCCGAGCGAGCTGCAAAAGACTGCGCTCGCTTATACATAGTAGGGATATATCAGGCTTGAAGTGGAAAGAAGTACAGAAGTTTCTCAAAAAAAAAAGGGGGCTGAAGACACGCAGTAGCAGTGCAAATATACCTGCAAATATACTGATACGCGCGCCAGTATAGACAAACTTGAAACTACCGCACCAGAAGTCTACGGTGCGGTGCCTATAGGAAGAAGCAGAAGGTTAAGGAATTCATATTACAAGCGTCTCCAGAAGGTATTTTAGTGTGTGAACAAGATAAATGATAAGGGTCAGACGAATTCTCCCTGTATTTTGAAAGCTTATTGTACTTGTAATACTTCAAACTCAAGCTATAGTTCCTACCACTACGACCTCGTTAGCCACCGCGGACCTTCTTCCTCCCCTAACATGCCTACGCCAGCTCCTTAAACGAGCGATCTCGAAATATTTTGAAAATTGCATGGATGTAATAAGGCAACCTTGCTGTCATTACATGACATCAACACAAGCTTGTTTCACATAAGTTCTGGATCGGCGTCAAAGGCTGTTGGGGAGAAATCATAATCTTGTCTTTGACAGGTCAAGAAAGATTCAGATAACATCATTGATAGTTATTTTCGTTCCGAGTGGGAATCTAACCCAGGCAGACAGCCGTGAAAGCAAGTGTTTTACCCCAGAGCCATGCTATTTATTGTTCTCTGCTCGACTGCCAGACTGGTTGTGTCCATGTTTGTCAAGTGGTGAAAAGATTCTCATTAACGCATTTATTTTTGCGTAGCTGAAGTGCAGAGTTGCGTCAGGCTTCAATTAGTCAAATTGTGCAATGACTGGGTGCTTAGACGTGAGGCCTCTACTAAGCCTGTGGACAGATTTATTCGTCATCAGCTGCAAACGCATCAAGCAAGAAAGCAGCTGCGTAGGCTCGCGTGATACCCTGTGGACCCCTATACTGGTTTCTTTCAGTTTCCTCATTCGCACAAGCAAAAAAAAAAAGTGGACGATCATGCATGCCGTGGGAATCAATGATAGGCGAAGCACGAGTGAGTAAGGTTGATATGTCACTTGGAAATGAGCAGGTGGAGGTAAATTATGCCGCACATGACTTCCGTGCCATGATTATTAGGTTTGGATGTGTCCTCAACCTTCGTCATCTATTCAGGTTGCGTAATACCAAATTTAGTATATGTGGAACTACTTCGTTATTCATTGACGCCACGTGAGACCCAATTTTGTGTATGTGGACCTAGCAAAACGGCCGCGAGCGCATTATAAAGGTCCCAATATACGTTGAAGCACGCACACGCTGGGCACAGTGAGTCTACGTTATCAAAACGTGAGCACTCTGTAGCCTCACGCCAGGCACGACCGGTGCAACCAGCGTCCATCGGCGCAACCATAAAAACCAGCGCGAATTGCGACATGCTGCATTTGGTGCCGATGGGTTACCCAGACAGCACTGCCTCTGCCTCTTTCCGTGACGGAGAGACGTCGGACGCGCGGAAACGTACATGCGTCATAGAAACGCAGTGCGGCGCAAGCCTTCGAGTATATGGCAGGACCGGCTCCTGGTGTGGCAACGCCGGCGTGATGCGACGAAATGAACGCCGCCTCGCAGGCGTGCCGGTTAACGTCGAAATGTATTGGCGCCTTTACTGTGGCATGTAGTCATGTTCTCACAAGACACGCATCTCATGATTATCATGTTTGCACCAGTCACATACCTTCGTCATTCATTGACGTCACATAATACAAAATTTGGCATATGTGGAGCTAGCAAAACAGCCGTCAGTGCATTGTGAGTATGGCATGTAGTCGTGTTGTTGCATGACACGCATGTCGTGATTATGCTCAAATATCTCATATACCTATGTCGTCCGTTCATGTCACATAATACCGAAATTGGTACGTGTGAAGCTAGCAAAAACGCCGCGAGCGCATCATGAGCGTAGCATTTAGTCATGTTGTTACATGACACACATCTCGTGATTATCATGTTTGCACCAGTCACATACCTTCGTCATCCATTCACATACCGTAATACCTAATTTGGTATATGTGACGCTAGCAAAACGCCCGTGAGCGCATCTTGAACGTGGCATGTATACATGTTGTTACATAACACGCATGTCATGATTTTCATGTTAGGGTCGGTCGCTTGTGTTCGCCATGCAATCATGTCATACCATACCAGTTTTGTAGCATGTCATGTGAACGAAACCACCGCAAAAGCAGCAGGACCATGAAATATAAATCATGACATTCATCCCATACATGCATACTTTTCATGTTCTGACTAGTCAAATATGCTCGTCATGCAGTCATGTTATGCCATACGAAGTTTGGTATTGGTACCATCACCGTAATCGGCAGGAGATCTAAACCTCGTACGCGAATAGATAGATAGATAGATAGATAGATAGATAGATAGATAGATAGATAGATAGATAGATAGATAGATAGACACGCTTAAGGTCGCCGAAGTTTGCTAGGAAATGCTTCGCATTTAAAAATACCGCGTAGTAGGCTGTTACGTAGGACAGTTTGAAAGAGCTGTTGTTACGCACTTAACCACTAGTTTACTAGCGGTGTTCTCCAGGCATGTACCAAGAACCGAAGTTTGGCTAGCACTTGAGTCGGCTGTTTGTGACTCGGTGACGACCAGCATGAGATCCTCGCTTATTGCATAGCGCAATCAACAGAGTCAGCTATAGGAATATATGTGATTTTTGCGCATCCTAACTCGCTCCATTTCACGCTTGTGCAACAGAGACATTATTTCACGCTGTAGTGTCCGAGTCGCAGTTTAATTGACACACACACACACACACACACACACACACACACACACACACACACACACACACACACACACACACACACACACACACACACACACACACACACCACACACACACACACACACACACACACACACACACACACACACATATATATATATATATATATATATATATATATATATATATATATATATATTTAAATATATATATAAATGAGATCTCACATGCAATAATGACATGGAATGTATAGGAGAAGTTATTAGAACCATTGTAATGTAGATAAGAAGAACCTGCGACCTTCGAATAACGCGTTCGACGCATTATTGTCTGTTATATCTCATTATTATTGTGTCAAAACAAGAAAAAACGAAACTTTTGGTATACACTTGTTTACATTGTATATATATATATATATATATATATATATATATATATATATATATATATATATATATATATATATATATACGTTGTCTTACGTAAATTAGGTTGCAGTTTCAAAATATGGCTATTTACGACATGACTGATTGATTGATTGATTTGTGGGGTTTAACGTCCCAAAACCATCCTATGATTATGAGAGATGCCGTAGTGGAGGGCTCCGGAAATTTCGACCACCTGGGGTTCTTTAACGTGCACCCAAATCTGAGTACACGGGCCTACAACATTTCCGCCTCCATCGGAAATGCAGCTGCCACAGCCGGGATTTGATCCCGCGACCTGCGGGTCAGCAGCCGAGTACCTTAACCACTAGACCACCGTGGCGGGGCTTACGACACGACTAACTGCATGTTGCTTACCGCTTCTTGGAATTAGTCAGAATATATTTTGTGTTCTCAAATGTTGTTTCATTAGATATGTTTAAATAACTAACTTTTGAAGGAACTAAGATGATTAAAAAATTTCAATGGGAAAGTTTTAGACCTCCTTGCAAAACGTCTAAACAACTATTTTTGAAATTATATCTGTTTGTAATAGTGTTTTTCTGCTAATTACAAATACCTCAATGTACAAAAAAATACCACGTGGAAAACTTGCTCGTCCGTCAGGGCGCATGACGATTCTAGTGCTCTCTAAGGGCCGGTTCACGGTAACGGCAAGCATGCCTCGCCGTTTGATGTTAGGCGTTCTCAGGCAGCCGTGCGTGGCTGTTTGCTTCACGCACGTCTGCCGTTCTTCGCCGTTCAAAAATGGGTCCGAGACCCATTTTTGGGCCATTTGCCGTTCGCCAGAGATTGGTTTAGCTAATCAGTGACAGAGGAGCGACATCGCTCAGTCGCGTCGTCTGCTTTCGCCTCTCCACGTTGTCTGCGTCTACCGCTGGACACTTCAAGCTGCTTGCTGCTTGCACCGCGGTTTTCCCGATATGTTGTAGTTTTGTTCTAAAACTACGTTTCAGCAGTGAAAAGAGCATTTTCGCCTGTCTGGTATTTAAAAAAAGTGCACAGCAATCTAAAATGGTGTTCTCAAAGCAGGCGTTTGAACAAGTGGCGCCAGATATTCAGCGTTCGCAACAACAAACAAACTGTAATGATTATGAATAACAGACGCTCTCTTGCTATTTAAAATGATGATGATGATCGGTGGCTGTATTAGTAGCTGGCCCACGCCACTCGCCGGTAGCCAGACCTATTTCATAAAGCGCCTTTCGCCAAGCTGCGTCTGAACCTTTTTTGATGTACAACACCTCTGATTGATTGATATGTGGGGTTTAACGTCCCAAAACCACTATATGATTATGAGAGACGCCGTAGTGGAGGGCTCC